AGAGAGAGAGAGAGAGAGAGAGAGAGAGAGAGAGAGAGAGAGAGAGAGAGAGAGAGAGAGAGAGAGAGAGAGAGAGAGGAGAGAAGGAGGGAGGAGGAGGAGGAGGAGGAAGATCTCTTACTTAGCATCCCCGAGACCAAGAAGTTCATGATGAGGAAGATGATGTGAATGAAGGAGCCAAGAGAGACCACAGCCTGAAGAAAAGCATGAGGGAGGAAAAGGAGAAGAAGGTGACGAGAAGACGAAGAGAGGACTGAGAGAGAGGAACCAGAAAACCGGCAGAACATCCTCTTCCTCTTCTCCAATTTCTCCTCCTCCTCCTCCTCCTCCTCCTCCTCCTCGCCCTCGCCTCCTCCTCTCCCCCTCTAACCCTCTCCCCTCCCCTCCCTTCCCTCCTCCTCCTCACACCAACAGTTCAGCTGGGGTGACGGCTGAGAAGACGTCTCGCTGAGCTGAGCGGCTGATTTGAATCCAGGGGGTCATGATGATGAGAACGTTGCTGACCAACCCCAGCAGCTCTCCCCTCCTCTTCACCTCTCCCTGCTCCCCTTCAGCTGGACTTTTCAGAAGCTTGTCCTCACCTTCACTGTCTTGGAGGCTACGACGAGGCCTGGGCGGTGTCAGCTGCGAGAAGGTGGAGGGACGGAGAGGAAGAGGAAGAGGAACATGGGAGGAGGATGGCAGAAGATGGCGGCAGGAAGCTGGAGAGAAGGACAAGAGAGCAGGAGGGAGAAAGAGACAGGAGGGAGAAAGGAGAGGGAGGAAGGATGGGGCAGGATGCGGGAGGGGTGGGATATACGGCATCTCAGTGGGAAGAGGGGGGGGGAGGGGTTCGAGCGGGGAGCAAAGAGACACCTTTGCCGAGGAACAACGGGAGCAAGACAGTCGTACAGAGTTTGACAACCTGCGGTCAACAATCTAAGGCAGGGAGCATGCGATCTTTGTCTTCACCATCTCCTTGATAGGGAGGGACACCGATGCCCCGAAGTAGGTCAAGTTGTTGAGCAGGAAAGGCACGACGAATACTCCCAGGATGCTGATGAGAGGAGCATGATCAGGCATGGAGGAGAGAAGAGGAGAGGAGAGGAGAGGAGAGGAAGAGGGAGGAAGCGAGTGGAGGAGAGAAGAGGAGAGGAGAGGAGAGGAAGAGGGAGGAAAGATGCAGTGGAGAGAGAATGGAGCGAAAGGCAAAGTTGCGGTTTCATTGTGACACGGCAGTGGGGAGGTCTGAAAGGGGAGAGGGAGGGGATAGGAGGAAAGGGGATGGGTGAAGGGGGACGAAAGTGGTGGGAAAGGGGAGCGAGAAGGCAACTACAACAGGGAACGATAACAAATAGAAGAGATGATGAAGGGGCAGGAGCAAAGGATGGTCAAGGATGAAGGAGGAAGTCGGGATAAAGAGGAAGGATGAAGGATGAAGGATGGAGGAGGAGCAGACGGAGGAGCAGACGGAGGAGGAAACAGGCAGGGGGCAGGAGGAAGAAACAGATAGGAAAGGGAGAAAGAGGTAAGAACAGAAAGGGGCAGAAGAGGGGGGAGGGGGGAGGGGGAGGGGGGAGGCGCAAGGGTACCTGGAGATGAGCGTGAGGAGGAGAGCGAGCGCGAAGTTCCCTCCTGACTGAGCAGCCAGCGCAGCTCCGCTGTTGATGGTGCAGGGCATGCAGACAAACAAGGCAATCCCCAGAGAAAACTCTGGCACCTGCGAACCTGCGTCACATGGCGAGATGGGATGGATGGGAAGAGGGATGGAAGGAGGGAAAGGAGGGAGGGAGAGGAGGGAGGGAGAGGAGGGAGGGAGGTAGAGTGACGTTGTAAGAAAGGAGGAGAACAAAGTTTGAAGAGGAAGGGGAAGTGAGTGGGGGGAGAAGAGGGGCTGGGAGGCAGGGGGGTAGGAGGAGACTCGGCGTACAGTGAGGGGGAAGACGTTATTCACGCGTGTCCCCAGCACAGCGGAGACGAGGAGGATGCTACAGGTCCCCCACAGAATGGCTGGGAGGTTGTTGAGAGCATTCCTCGCCTCCTCCGTCCTCAGTTTCATCCCCCCGATGAAGAAGATGCCGGCTGCACCCATGCTCAGACGCGCCCTCCGTCCCTTCACCCCCCCCGTGCTCTCCCTCCCTCCTTCCCTCTGTCATCCTCTCCGTCCTTCTCTCCGTCCTCCCTTCTCTCCTTGCCGTCCTCCTTGCCGTCCTCCTTTCCTCCGCCCCTCATTCCTTTCCTTCCCTTCCTCCTCCTCTCCCATGCACCTGCGAGGTAGTTGGTCACCGCGAATTTCCCTGCTGCAACCCCCAAGGAAGGGAACATGATCCCGACGGTGATAGCGAGGAGAAGCCCGATAGGAAGGAGCTGCTCCTTCACCCGACGACGCACAAATGCCCATCGATCCACGCGCGGCATGTCGTCCAGCCCTCCTCCTCCTCCTCCTCCTCCTCCTCCTCCTCGTTGTGCATGCAGTGCGACGAAGCACCTATGTCTCCTCGAGCTTCCAACAACATCGTCGTGCGAGCGGGAGTGCGCTCTAAGACCAGGGGGAGGGGGAGGGGGGAGGCCGCAGCCCCCACGGCAGCCCCCGACACAACCAAACCTGCAGCTTCATCAGCAAGTAGGCGAGCATGAAGGAGATCAAACCATGAGAGGATGGCAGCGAAGTCAAGGAGCAGAGGGTAAATGCCGCAAGCTTCAAGAGGACCATCCTTAGCGCTTCTCCCTGACGCTGCTCTGTCTGTCTGTCTGTCTGTCTGTCTGTCTGTCTGTCTGTCTGTCTGTCTGTCTGTCTTTCTCTGTCTGTCTGTCTGTCTGGTCGTGGTCTGTCTGTCTGTCTGTCTTGCCCCTCTAGTCTTGATGTTGTCTCGAACAGATCTCCAATGGATCCACCATGCTGACCTCCTCCTCCTCCTCCTCCTGTCCTTCTCTTCTTCTCCTCCTCTCCTCTCCTCCTACTCCTCCTCTCTCCTCCTCTCCTCTCCTCTCTACTCTCCTCGTACCCTGTCGCCGGGGTTCAAGTGTGAACGAGAATCCTCGAACTCTTTTTCCAGTACCGATTGAAGTATTTGAGTAAACTATTAGTACCTTACAATAAAAACAAATATATACCTCTTGAGAGGTTGTTCTATCGGAACTTGTCGGGGCGAGCTATCACTTGCAATCGCAGACACCAGTCCCTTCTTCAAACAGCTTCCCGTGCTGACAATCATCTCCTCTCCTCTCGCAGTCTCTTCTTCTCATCTTGCCTCCTCCTGTAGAGTCTCTTCACCTCCCCTCCTCTTCTCTCCCACCTTAAGTTTCGATATCCAACAAGACTCTTGTGAATTCTGTGTGACATATCAACAACCCAGGAGGAGAAGCTCGACTCGATGATATTCAACTTGTTTTTCATTCATTAGCTTCAAATACAGTGTAACTAGACATTTCTACATCAATGGATGGTAACAGCACAACATTCGAGACAAACTCTACAAAAATCTCGACAAGAACCCTCGAGGCTCGGGCGACATCGACTTGCTCTCCCCTCGCTCCCTCGTCCCGCGTGCTCCTCTCGGCCCCCGGGGAGCCTCCGCCTCCTCCTCCCCGTCCATCTCCACCGACGCTGCCCCCAGCTTTACCATGGCGGCCAGCCAGTCCCCCTGCTCCTCTTCGTCGCAGTGGATATACAAGCACTCCTGGCTTTTGGAGGCATCGAAGAGGAACCGCTTGTTGCTGGTCAGGATGAAGCCCCTGGTGTCGCTCCTCCTGTAGCCCACGACCGTCTCGACCAGTCGTAGCTCGGCGATCACAGTCCTCCTCTTCCCCTCGAAGATTCGCAAGAGCCCCTTGTTGGAGATAGAGCAGAAGACCCTCATTCCTGAAGCAGCGTTCGCTGCCTCACGAAGCTCCAGCTTTCCGGAGATAACATCTTCGTTTGGATCAACGCTCTGCTGAGCAGCATCTCTGGATCTCCGGGGAGAGGAGTTGGGAGAGCTGTAGCTGAGGAAAGAGTTCTCAATCTCGTCTCTCAGAGAATTCATTCTCAATGCTGAGCGATCATTCGCAGTGTTGCCGAAATCAGAAGGGATCCGCATGAAGTCCAAGTCACCGATGCTGCCTACTCTTCCGAGCTGCTCTCTCAGGAAGTCCGTGTCCAGCATGCCCTTGTTCTGGTTGGGCTTGAGAGAGATTCCATGATCCGGGATTTGAATTGGTTGTGTCCTGGGACTACGTCGATGAGCTTCTAAACCTGATGTCATAGTATGATGTTGCGATTGAAGGATGTCTGAAACAAAGGATGTACAGAAGATAGCGGAGGATGTGCAGGGGCAAGGAGGATGTGAGGGAGGAAGGAGACTGGAAGATGATATTGGGCTGCAGGGTACGTATGCTGTAAGAAGTCGGGAGAAGGAGTCGGAGTCTGTGCAGTAAGAAAGACACCGGTGATATTATTGTTAAAAGAGGTGGTAGGGTATCTGCAATAGATCACGTCGATTCGAATCTCAGAGATACGAATCGATGCGTTGTCACCGTAAATCACGTCGTGAACCCCTTCACAGTATATCTGGACCGCAGGGTGGGGTACTCTCCGACTGCTTACTACAGTCTTTACAGCAATCATCACTGTCACATTGAGCTGTCATCCGGGAGGAGGTAGGGGTGGTGGGGGTACACTTCTGGACGAAGATATAGTACTCCGACCCGGACTCCATGACACGGATTCCGCTGCTGACAATTTCTAAAAAATCCAAGAGGACAGAAGTGGGGGCAGAAAACCATGTACCTTCAAGGTCAACTTGATGCTAGAGCTGTCTTCCAGATGTCTCTATACTTGAATTGAGGCGGAGTTTGCGATGTGCTGTTGTAAAAAACATACGGTGTAGTAAGGATGCAGTCACATGGGAAAGACATCACACGATTGAAATATTTCTCTCAGATTTGAACTTTTGTATGAATGAAATCAAAATGTTGCTCGATTCGCTCTAATCTTACGCACTCCAGTGACTCGCTTGGGAACCTTGTTTGAAATTTGACTGAATTTGTTTACTTCCGAAGAGGTCAGGTCACTCCTGGCCCGGCAGCCCGTGATACAGCCTGACTCAAACCTGATCAAACCGGGCCCGGCACGCCGGTCACACCGGGCGCGGGTGTCTCAGCCGAGTCGGATGATGGCTCGGGTCGACAAGTCCGACTGAGTCGGTGGCACTAGTTCGGCGGCCCACAGCGGCACCGGGGGAGGGAGCTAACTAGTGACTCCCACTGAGCCGCCGGGGCCCGCCGGGAGCCGCTCAGTCACTCAGGATCATATCACTGAGTCACTGAGTCAGTGAACTTTGAATAGTACTACCATATCAGTCTACCGTCAAAGTTAAGCTATAATCATCTTTCATTGCTGTAACTTTTAGACTAGTAAAGACTCGTCAGGTTGCGCAGGCGGGCCCGCTACTAGGCTAATCGCCCTTGTCGATGTCTTCGATGAACCTTGTGCAGTCTTCGCACAACTTCTTCAGTTCCTGCAGACAGCTCTCAGCCAACGGAGGCAGGCGGTTCAGTACCGAGCATCACCTTCTTG